CTGGCTGGCATGTGGTGCTGGGGGATTGAACCGCGGTCCCTGTGCTTTGCTAAGCTTGTTCTAAGTAGGTGCTTTAGACCACTGAGCCATCTCACCAGCCTTCCAAGATTTTTTAATAGAGGAATCTTTCTCTTCAGTAACTCTTGCAGGAAAGTGAAATGAAAAACTTATAAGAGGGATCAATCATTTTCAGTACAGTATACAAATCGAATTATTTTTCTGTATTGCCAAATAAGAAATAGACATTAATTTAAGTATTCAACTCTGAAGCATTGGAAAATTTGGAGTGAGGTTTTGGAAATCTAGGACTTTGTTTTGCACACTATAAGGAATTTTAGATGACAGGGCAAAGCCTTATATGGAAAAAGCGGGTACATTATTTTCAGGAAAAATATCTGACATAGAAATCATCTATTTAGACATAACTGTTCTGTCATTGCCTTTTGCTATTGAGAAAATAAAACATTGATCTTTGTAAGAACAAAAAAATTTCACTGGACAGTTTCTTACTATGTGCTCCAGGTTGGCATTGAACTTGTGGCAATCCTCCTGCCTCAATCTACTGGGATTATGGGTATAAGCCATCTCACTGAGCTTTGTGGGCTGAAATTATTTCTATCTCTCTCATGTGATTCACTTGTCCTTGATCTTTTTAGCCTACAATCCTTGTGCTTCATAATACAGTTGGCTAAAGTCAGTTGATATGTGTTGTGTTCCATATGTAAAACACATCAGAAAAACCATATTTATATCATTTTTGTCCTTTCTTTCTAGGTGCCATCACCATACCTATTATGGTAATTGGAACGATGTTAGGAGGATTTCTCATTAAAAAATTCAAAATGACAGTGGTTGGAATTGCCAAATTTGCACTTCTTAGTTCAGTAATGAGCTTCTTATGTCAAGTGTCCTACCTTCTTCTCATGTGTGATGGCAAGTCAGTTGCCGGCTTAACTTTGGCCTACGATGGGTTTGTATTATATCATTGCATCGATTACATATTACACTAACTATGAATTAAATGACTCCTGGAATGTAAGCCAGAAAACAATTTTAATTAAACTTTAATTTCGTTTACTTGTTTATTTAGTGCTATCGGGGCTTGAACTTGACACCTTGCGCATGCCAGTCAGGTGCTTATGCCACTGAGCTATATCCCCAGCCCCTGAACTTCAATATCACTTTTAGTTGAGAGAAATTTCAATTTACAAATTCTTAAGATTCTTATTTCTGGGGACGTCTAAGAAGTCTTCTTTATTTCTTCCTTAAAGAAAAACTACGTAGTTTAAAAAAAAAATTATTGTTTCTGGGTTGCTCATAATGAACAAAGGCTACTTTTTGCCCATCTTTTTAGATGTGGGAAATAAGGCTCAAAGTGGTATGGATAGCAGTTTTCTTTTAATATGATATCTCTAATTTGGGAAATTTAAGTCTCTTTGTCTCCACACTTTAATTTTAGATGTATTATGAGCATGATAAGGTATGTGACATTTTCTAAAGTAAACTGAATAGCATTTTTCTACAGTCCACCGTGATATTTAGTAGCTATCTTTATAAGAGAACTCTTTTTTACGCTGATCTGCGTTTTTGTTTTCTGTGAGCTGATACTTTGTTCTGGTACTGTTTTCATTGTAAGTATAATTACTAAATATCAGTCAATATCACATAAAGCCAAGTATTTCTAGTACCTCAGTCTACTCCAAATAAGGGCCAGGATCACATGCAGATTCATGGGATGCAACTGGCAACGTGGTTAGGAAGATTCTCCTTCAAGTGATAAGCATAGATCCTTGGATCACAGTTCAGCAACCACACCCATTAGTGTGATCTACACTTGGCTCTGTGTGTTCAAGCTCTGGATACCACCCTAAGGTGTAAATTTTAACTTGTCAGATCCTCACACATTTCCTTATTTATTTATTTTTTGTGGTTCACCCTGCCCTAGGGGTGGGGCTGGCGTGGTATGTGGTGCAGGGGCTCGAACCACAGTGCCTGCACTTGCCTAAGCAGGCGCTTTAGACAGCTAGGCTATCTCTCCAGTCACCATGTTTCCTTATTTAAACATTACCTTATGGCAGACATGACCTGCTAATCCTGATTTAACTTCTGTGTGCTCCTAATCCTCCATGTTGTTGATGGTTCCATCCGTGGTTACTAACTCTTTAGTAAGTCGGAATGCATAGAGGGCATCTGTCTTAGTTACTTTTCTCTTGTTGCTGGGACAAAATACCTGACACTCAAAATTAAGGAAAAGAAGATTTATTTATCCCATAGTTTGTGGAGATTTCAGTCTCTAATCAGCTGGTTCGATAGCAGGGTGGCATGACACAGGGACAACCCTTCTAGGTGGCAGAAGACAGCGAGGCGACAAGAATGAAGAGGGAAAGCAAGCCTTTCTTCCTCTCTTATACTGTCTGCCTTCTAACTGCCCTGACAAAGCTGCTTGTTAACACCCACACCACCTTCTCATCTTCCTCTTGCACAGGCTCAGGAAAAATGCAAAGGACCTTGGCCCCCTGCTGAGCGACATCGTTACCTTTCCCACTTCTCAAGTTCAGCACCCTAGAGCAGAAAGGACATGTCTTTTTCATCCCTAGATAGGAGCTGCTGAATTATTTCAGTTAAGGGTCTAGATTTCAAGTTGACACAATGTACCAACCAGCACCACAACTTTAAATTTCAGAGATGATAACACACCATAGGTATCACACAGCTCCATTTTCTCATATCCCTTCCTTTATTCCTTTAAATCTGAAGAAACTGTCCCTTGCTGGAAGTCACATAATTGCTCACTGGTTCTCCCAGGCTTTAGGCAGCCTACAACCAGTACCCAAAGAACAAGTCACATGATGGTTGTGTGTCATGGAGAGAAATTCTTAGAAATGTTGTGCTTCACCATTGTGTACGCATATTAGGGTATACTCACATGGACTAAGTAACAATGACACTGGATGACATAGTCTTATCACGCCATCATTATATATGATGCACAATTGGCTGACTGTTACTCAGCACAGACTGAATAATAATTTCACCCTGGGTTCAGAAGATTAACTGGGTATGATGGCACATCCCTATAATCCCAGCACTCTTGGAGGCTAACCCAGGAGGGTCACAGGTGCAAGCCAAACCTGGTAATTTAACAACTTAATAAGAACAAGTCTCAAAATTTAATAAACTAAAGGGACTTGGGATATAGCTCAGCATGAAGCTCTTTGGGTCAATCTCCAGCACCACAGGAAAGAAAAAACAAAAGGTGATGTTAAAAATTCTATGAGGCTGGGACCAGCCAGATAGCTCAGCAGATTAAAGTGCCTGGCTAGGCAGATGCAGATACCGGGGTTCGATCCCCAGTGTGCCATGCTGGTCCTGCCCCCAGGGCACGCTGAGCACGCGATTGAGACTGGATGTGGTGGTGGTGTGCAGCTATAATCCCACCACTTGGAAGGCTGAAAACTGGAGAATCACTACGAGTCTGAGCTGTGTAGTGAGACCGGGTAGACTCTATACTAGACTCAAAAAAAAAAATTCTCTGGGACTTTTCACTAAAATTTTATTTGCTGTCTCCAAAGTGAATATCTTTAATATGCACAAGATTGTTATTTAGCTGGTTCATCTTAGTTTATTGAAAAGAAAGATTTATGCTAATATTGTCTGAACAATATTTCATGCTTATATATTGTACTCTGAGTAACTACTATGAAGATAACAATATCCAATGCATTAATTTTGTTACTCTTCTATTATCCTGTTTTGAGTTTATTATTTTTCTCTTTATAATGCTAAAAAGATTTTTATAAAAACGAAAGAAAGATTTCTAAAATTCATAGATAACTAAAGTTATATGTTTTCAAATGTCAAGTATATAATGTTCAGAACAAATTTGTGTCATAACTTCCAAGTGTATAGTATTATAAAGCATAATAATTTTATTCCGAAGGTATATGGAACTTTTCTTATATTTTTCAACAGATGTTTATTCTAGATTTTTTAAATTTCATACTTAGAGATTCTGCTTTGCTCATGTTGAATTCTTCTCCTATTTAAATAAAATACAGATTTTGACATTAACTTTGTTAGATTACATTCACAGATTCACATGACATTACAGTAAGCTTGGTGGAGTGTCTGTCTGCTACCGCTGTTGAACTTGAGAAAAAGTGATGGTTAGAAAAGTGAAGTGACTGGGCTGGGGAGATAGCTCAGTAGAATAAGCGCTTGCCTGGCAAGCACAGGGTCCTGATTTCAATCCCCAGTACTGCAAAAAAAAATATAATAAAGAAAGAAAAAAAAAAGAAAAAGAAAAGAAAGAAAGAAAGAAAGAAAGAAAGAAGAAAAAAAGAAAGAAAAAGAAAAAGAAAGTGACGTAGCTACTGTAAATTTACTGACTGAAATCTCTTTTCTAAGATGTACACCCTCCCTAGTCTCCTCTTACAAGTTTTACATTTTTTAGATCCTAAGTGATGTTGTGATAAGGACAGAAGGTGAGAAGAGGGTCAATGTTTAACACTACCAATTGGCTACAGTTCATTAAAATTCTCTAACTTAAAGAAAATAGTCTCTAAGTTCTCTCTTTTTTTCCTATTTTTTCTTCTGCTTTTCTTCTCTACTTCACAACTAACTGCTTTTCCTTTCACATCTTTCTTCCTTTTTTGTTTGCTTGTTTATTTATTTATTATTTATTTATTTATTTATTTATTTTTGCGGAACCAGGGATTGAATTCAGGCCTTGCAGTTGCCAGGGAAGTGCTTATTCCACTGAGCCATCTCCCTGGCTCCTAGAAAGTTTTTGATTTCCTTTTTTTTGTACCAGGGATCAAACTCAAGACCTTGCGCTTGCCAGGCAGGCATGTACGCTGCTGAGCTATCTCTCTGACCCTCTTCCATTATTTCTGATATATCTATCTTGCCTTTGCAGAACTACTTCAACTCTCTTTCTGTTTTGAACATGTGCCTTCCCTTTGTCTCCAGAATTAGTCCACTGCCATCTCAAGCAGACAGACTGCTGCCTCACTGCAACTCACACTGCCATTGTGATGAAAGTCAATGGGAACCAGTCTGTGGGGACAATGGAATAACTTACTTGTCACCTTGTCTGGCAGGATGCAAATCCAGAGTTGACAATAAAAAGTCTAATGTAAGTAAAGTGTTGCTTTCTCTCCTATCTATAATCAAGAACACAGGTTTCATTTAGCAGTCGCTTACCAGTATTTCTGTAATAATGTGCCCGGTAAAATGGTACAAGAAAAAGATTACAATATTTTCCATCATTGTGATGGTTGTAATATTGTATACAAAAAGCTTCTTGTCAAATCCTACTTGGATAACAATCAAATTTTGCTATCTCTGGAATTCTAATTTGAGATTGCATCATTATTATTTCATTTAAATTGTATGAGTGAAACTTCTTTGGAATATGAATGCACTTAGAGGGCTTAGGAAGCATCTAATTTGACTAAAGCTATAACTTTCATTGGATTGGAATTATTTTGCCCATGAGAAGATAGAGGAAATTCCTAAATCAGAGCCATCTGGAAGACCCCTATATACAATTTTGAATATGGATTCTGATGAGTTTATCTCGAGGCTCAGCATCCTTTTGACTTTCCAAGGAATAATCAAGTGGTCACGTAGCTGCCCAGTTCTTATCTTCCAATTCTGGCTTCCCCAAAACTGAGACTTTTCCTTCCTAGAGTAATATAGTCTCTTGCTCACATCTTGCCAACATACCCCTACAGATGCCATTTTCTTCTTTGCCCAAGACATTCCTTTCCATGTGAGCTATGTTTTCCTTAATATCCTGGGTCACTCAGCATAATTGATCATTTATAGTGTTTTCCATGCTTCCTAACTATTGAACATTTCATAAATTTGGGTGTGAATATCCTGGATCCTTTCTGTACTATTTACATAAGAAATATTACCATTGTTCATCATTATTATTAGTTGCTCCCTTCTGTCTTAATATTGAAACATTCTTCACCACCTTTTGTTTCTGCCTGTCATGCCATGGTAGACCACAGTGCCCTTTGAAGGACAAATCATCCCAGAGCCACTGAAAGGGGCCCAGCACTTGAATAATTGCACTAGCATGACATAAAGACTGTCCTTAAATCCCATGTATTATATTCATGACTATTTTGCCTCTGTTTAATCATGGGTTTTCCAATGATGAAGACCTGGGGGAGGCATGATTATTAGAATCCCCAACGGAGTTCTATCTACCATGGGCACATCAAACGTCTAAATATTTTTCATCTATTGTACAGTTATTTGAGAACCTTGGTAATAAGTTATCTTTTCTGTCATGAAAATTTTTGTATTAATATATAATTTATTATGCAGTATGTTTCTTTGGTAAAGGGTTCCTCCCTGTGTGATTCCTAATTGGGAAAAAAAAGTATACAAAATACAACCTCATAAAATCATACTAGTACAGATTCAAATTCTTCCTCCATTCTACCCTGTAATGGAAAATAAAGAATTTATTAAAGGTACCTATCAATGTAACTGATGTGCCTGATTAACTCTATAAAATTAAGCATTCTTAAGTTTATATGTTTTAGGTTTTGTTGTTCAACATAATCAGTTGAGTAGAATTTCTCCGGTAATAACAGCATCTATTGTATTTGTCATTATGCTTCTGGATTTTATTTTGCCTGTCAAAATAAAATTCAGCACATCAACCTGGTCCCATTTTCTCTAGACTCCTTCCTACTCTATGAGTAACTCTACTTACAGATTTTGCCCCCTTCCAAAGTGTTGTATTGTTGAATTCTTGGGGTAGTCCTTTCAGAGGACACACCTCTGACAGGGTACGAGTTGTTAGCTATGGTAGGTAAGGGTAACATAAAAAGTAAAAGTGGGAGGAATAGAGGTACAAAAAAGAATTTGTATGATGAGAGAACTTACGCAGAGTTTCAAACACTAATTTCTTCAATTAGTTCCTAATTTTTGATTCAGAAATGAGTATAATATCAACAGTAAATTATATTTTCTTTCTTTTTTTCCATAATTTTATTGAGAAATGAATAGGTTTTTTTCCCATAATTTTATTGAGAAAT